AAAGACATTATAAAGATCCCAGTGTGGCTGGAGGTACAGTATAACACAAGGTCATTATAAACATCCCAGTGTGGCTGGAGGTACAGTATAACAGAAGGACAGTATAAACATCCCAGTGTGGCTGGAGGTACAGTTTAACAAAAGGACATTAGAAACATCCCAGTGTGGCTAGAGGTACGGTATAACAGAAGGACACTATGAACATCCCAGTGTGGCTAGAGGCAGAGTATAACAGAAGGACATTATAAACATCCCAGTGTGGCTGGAGGTACAGTTTAACAGAAGGACATTAGAAACATCCCAGTGTGGCTAGAGGTACGGTATAACAGAAGGACATTATAAACATCCCAGTGTGGCTGGAGGCACAGTATAACAGAAGGACATTATATAAACATCCCAGTGTTGCTGGAGGTACAGTATAACAGAAAGACATTATAAACATCCCAGTGTGGCTTGAGGTACAGTATAACAGAAGGACAGTACAAAAATCCCAGTGTGGCTGGAGGTACAGGATAACAGGACAGTATAAACATCCACAGTATAAACATCCCAGTGTGGCTGAAGGTACAGTATAACAGAAGGACATTAAAAACATCCCAGTGTGGCGAGATACAGTATAACAGAAGGACACTATGAACATCCCAGTGTGACTGGAGGTACAGTATTACAGAAGGACATTATAAACATCCCACTGTGGCTGGAGGGACAGTATAACAGAAGGAAAGTATAAACATCCCAGTGTGGCTGAAGGTACAGTATAACAGAAGGACAGTACAAACATCCCAGTGTGGCTGGAGGTAGAGGATAACAGGACATTATAAACATCCCTGTGGGGCTGGAGGTACAGTATAACACAAGGTCATTATAAACATCCCAGTGTGGCTAGAGGTACAGTATAGCAGAATGACAGTATAAACATCCCAGTATGGCTGGAGGTTCGGTATAACAGAAGGACACTATAAACATCCCACTGTGGCTGGAGGGACAGTATAACAGAAGGACACTATGAACATCCCAGTGTGGGTGGAGGTTCGGTATAACAGAAGGACACTATAAACATCCCACTGTGGCTGGAGGTACAGGATAACAGAAGGACAGTATAAACATCCCAATGTGGCTGGAGGTACAGTATAACAAAAGGACATTATAAACATCCCAGTGTGGCTTGAGGTACAGTATAACAGAAGGACAGTACAAACATCCCAGTGTGGCTGGAGGGACGGTATAACAGAAGGACAGTATAAACATCCCAGTGTGGCGGGAGGTACAGTATAACATAAGGACAGTATAAGCATCCCAGTGTGGCTGGAGGTACAACATAACAGAAAGACATTATAAAGATCCCAGTGTGGCTGGAGGTACAACATAACAGAAAGAAATTATAAAGATCCCAGTGTGGCTGGAGGTACAACATAACAGAAAGACATTATAAAGATCTCAGTGTGGCTGGAGGTACAGTATTACAGAAGGACATTATAAACATCCCAGTGTGGCTTGAGGTACAGTATAACAGAAGGACATTAAAAACATCCCAGTGTGGCGAGATACAGTATAACAGAAGGACACTATGAACATCCCAGTGTGGCTGGAGGTACCGTATAACAGAAGGACAGTATAAACATCCCAGTGTTGCTGGAGGTACAGTATAACAGAAAGACATTATAAACATCCCAGTGTGGCTAGAGGTACAGTATAACAGAATGACAGTATCAACATCCCAGTATGGCTGGAGGTTCGGTATAACAGGACATTATAAACATCCCTGTGGGGCTGGAGGTACAGTATAACAGAAAGACATTATATAAACATCCCAGTGTGGCTGGAGGCACAGTATAACAGGACATTATAAACATCCCTGTGGGGCTGGAGGTACAGTATAACAGAAAGACATTATAAACATCCCAGTGTGGCTGTAGGTACAGTATAACAGAAGGACAGTACAAAAATCCCAGTGTGGCTGGAGGTACAGGATAACAGAAGGACAGTATAAACATCCCAGTGTTGCTGGAGGTACAGTATAACAGAAAGACATTATAAACATCCCAGTGTGGCTGTAGGTACAGTATAACAGAAGGACAGTACAAACATCCCAGTGTGGCTGGAGGTAGAGTACAACAGGACATTATAAACATCCCAGTGTGGCTCGACGTACGGTATAACAGAAGGACACTATGAACATCCCAGTGTGGCTGGAGGTAGAGTACAACAGGACATTATAAACATCCCAGTGTGGCTAGAGGTACAGTATGACAGAATGACAGTTTAAACATCCCAGTATGGCTGGAGGTTCGGTATAACAGAAGGACACTATAAACATCCCACTGTGGCTGGAGGCACAGTATAACAGAAGGACATTATAAACATTCCACTGTTGCTGGAGGTTCAGTATTACAGAAGGACATTATAAACATCCCAGTGTGACTGGCGGTACAGTATAACAGAAGGTCATTATAAACATCCCAGTGTGGCTGTAGGTACAGTATAACAGAAGGACAGTACAAAAATCCCAGTGTGGCTGGAGGTACAGGATAACAGGACAGTATAAACATCCACAGTATAAACATCCCAGTGTGGCTGAAGGTACAGTATAACAGAAGGACATTAAAAACATCCCAGTGTGGCGAGATACAGTATAACAGAAGGACACTATAAACATCCCACTGTGGCTGGAGGTACAGGATAACAGGACAGTATAAACATCCACAGTATAAACATCCCAGTGTGGCGGGAGGTACAGTATAACATAAGGACAGTATAAGCATCCCAGTGTGGCTGGAGGTACAGTATAACAGGACAGTATAAACATCCCAGTGTGGCTGAAGTACAGTATGATCAGCCATGATCAGCAGACATAAATATTTTCTTTAAAAGTGTGTAATTACCCCAAATCATTGACCGAGCCTTGTGGGGATTGGCTATATACAATTTCAAATCCTTAAAAAAAAGAGAGATAGATGCTAATTATATCAGATATATGGTAAGTGAAATACTTGAAACTAATTCAACCCTGAAATTTTGTAATGAACTATTCCAACCATAGAATTGGAAGAAATCAAATGTGTCTTCAGGGGTGAATGAGTTAGGGTAAAAGGTATCAACAAGTTGAACTTTATTATTACCACTTCAGTGAAAAATTTGTTGAAGGTTTTTTTCAAAAGAAAAATTCCATCAAAATAACACATTGCTATGCATTAAAAGAAATGTAGTCATTTAAATTCTGAATGTTTGAAAACAGAAATTCAAAATATACAAATCAAGAAAAAAATGCACAGGTCGAATTCATGACCATTTTACTACAAAGCCTACACTTTACCAGCACAGCATCAAAATTAGTGTAAAGTGTATTGGCTGCAAACTTATGAAAATATTAATAAAGGTACCAGTAGTTTCTGTAAGTTCGAAAAACTCATTTCGGTAGCTTCATCTTCTGTTTAAAAGGGAGAGTACCTGGTACTCCAAAGTTAAAAATCTGCAAGCTGAAGACCTTTTTTAGCATTTTATAACTGACCTAGTGGTACCTTTACTTTAAATGTTGTTAACGTTTATAAAATATCCTTTATCATCATCATGACTCTCCACAAATACTTGTATGAACAAGCCATTCAAATTGATGTCTCGCCTGTGCCCCTCTTTAATCATCAATGCACATGTCAAGTTTGGTTGGTCTAGCACTTAAAATTTCAGAGAAACAAACTTAAACGCAAAAACTTAATGTTGTCGGAGATGCTGACAAAGTCAATGGACCATGAAAGGTAGGCCCCATCCAGCATTTAATGCATGGGTTCATATGTACTACCTAAGATGCACCTAAGGCGCAAGTTTGGTTGGTCTAGCACTTACATTTTCAGTGAAACTAACTTAAATGCAAAAACTTAATGTCGACGCCACCGCCATCGCTAGAAAAGCAACACCTAATATTAATTAGTCTTGCTTCCGCTACTTCGTGGATGCGAGACAAAAACCATAAGTATGAATATTAAGACAGAAGTTTTATCATCAGGTAACCACTTGGTAAATGTTTGGGCTAGAAACCATGGAAAATGTCATGATATGCAATGTCTTGTGCTGATAATGTATCATCCACATACTGCAAACCAGACCGATCATATCTGTCAAAGTATGTAAAATATGATACAGATAATATGTAGGATTATAATCACAATATACTCAAGTGTCACCAATTAAGTGGGTTTTTCAGTTTATTTGGCCGACTAGTTTCATCAGGATGAAGCACCTCCTTACTAGTCAGTCAAATAAACTTTAAAATCCACTTAATTGGTGACGCTCAAGTATGCTGTGATTATGATCAGACTTGTAATGTATATTTTACTACTGAAATTGCCCTGCATACCTTTTGGTATCCATACTCAAAGTGCAGTGCCGCACTGACCAACCCACATACCTACACCTGAGGTTGGCTCCCCCCACTGACCAACCCACATACCTACACCTGAGGTTGGCTCCCCCCACTGACCAACCCACATACCTACACCTGAGGTCGGCTCTGCCCCACTGACCAACCCACATACCTACACCCGAGATCGGCTCCCCCCACTGACCAACCCACATACCTACACCTGAGGTCANCCCCACTGACCAACCCACATACCTACACATGAGGTCGGCTTCCCCCACTGACCAACCCACATACCTACACCTGAGGTCGGCTCCCCCCACTGACCAACCCACATACCTACACATGAGGTCGGCTTCCCCCACTGACCAACCCACATACCTACACCTGAGGTCGGCTCCCCCCAATGACCAACCCACATACCTATACCTGAGGTCGGCTCCCCCCACTGATCAACCCACATACCTACACCTGAGGTCGGCTCCCCCCACTGACCAACCCACATACCTACACCTGAGGTTGGCTCCCCCCACTGACCAACCCACATACCTACACCTTAGGTTGGCTCCATCAACTTCAAACAGATAACATGTATTACATTGAGCTGTTTCTCGCCTGCCCTACAACTAAACACAACAGAACAACATTATGTATCGCCTCACACCAGAACTTTTAATGTAACATACCTCAGTTACATGTATACACATCCAGTGATCATTATATATACAAATCAAACTTGAAATAATCTACATTCACACCAATATATCCATCACATATTTTCTTTTGTTTAATTCCGAATATCAAAAACATAGTGTCTGCACAATTTTCTTCCATCCTGAAAGTGTTGTTTTTTCGTATTTCACAGTTGTAGGTGGCTATCACAACTGCTCATAAGGAAGGTCGACTCTTATTAATAATTCACGATTCAAGCTGTTCTGCAGAACCCTCAGACACCACACCCAGGTCAACGGGTCCGAGTACAATATCTGTAAAATAGAAGTGGATTTACAAATAGAAGTGTATGTCCCAAAAAATACATCCATGAAAAACATGTGTCACATTCATGTGATATACATATACACTACTTACTTCTTTCGAAATTTACCAGCACAAATTATATTCTAAATTTTTTAAATGAAATCATGTAGTGCTTTCATGAACAAGAGGCCCAGAGGGCCTGTATTGCTCACATGAATATGTTTAAAATAATTGGTATGAAGTAAGGATATAGCACCACTCCATGGTAGGTGCTGTAAGATCCAGTACTTGAGATATAGAGAGAACAAACTTCAAACAGACCCCAACCCATGTGCCCCTAGGGGAGGTCATACCCACCAATTATACAAAATTGAGTCCTCTTGACCCAAGGATGCTCCAGACTAAATTAGGATAAAATCCCTTTATCCTGATGGTCGAAGAAGGATTCTAAAGGTTTCACCTCTATTTCTCCTATTGGGCCCCGCCCTTCTGTCCCCTGCGAGACCACACCCACTGCTTATATAAAATTGAGTCCCCTTGGCCCAAGGATGCTCCAGACTATATTAGGGGAAAATCCATTAATCCCTAGGGTAGAGGAAGGATTATAATGATTTTAACCTCTATTTTCCCTATTGGGCCCTGCCCCTCAGGCCCCTGCGGTGCCAGATCCACCGTTTATACAAAATTGGTTCCCCTTTACCCAAAAATGCTTCAGACCAAATATGGACAAAATCCTTTCATTCCTACAGAAGAAGAAGGATTTTAAAGAATTTGCTAAGGTTTCCCTATTTGGCCCCGACCCTCAGCTCCCAGGTGGGTCCGACCCACCGTTTATACAAAATTTGTTCCCCTTCCCCCAAGGATGCTTCTGACCAAATTTGGTCAAAACATGCTCAGTCGTTAATGACTAGTAGCGTTTTAAAGAAAAAGTTGACGAACGGACAAATGACGGACGCTGCGATATGGCATAAGCTCTACACCATGGTCCTTCCGACCAGGTGAGCTAAAAACCAACAGTAGGCAAATATGACTGGTTCAGATTTGGTTTTGACCAGTTCAAATGGCCACTTTCTACTGTATTTTATACCCATACTAACAAACATTGGTCATTAGAAACGTTATTTTGGACTATTCAGATAAATGTTACTGAAAAGTCTGCATTATTTAACATCGTTTGTCATTAAATGTGATGCTGATCAAAACGTTATGCTGAAGGAAGATTTGTTTTCTATTTTTTGCAGCTTATTTTCTGAGCTTCCTTTTTATTCAAATTCCAAGAGATGAGGTTTGACAGAGTTAACCCTTTCAATATTAAACCTTTCACCCCTATGTAACTTTAGTAGACTCTACCATGCATTGATCTGGATGAGTCCATTATGGTCTACAGTGGTGAAAGTGTTAATGTTAAACAAGCCATTTGGATGAATAGAATCTCTCACCCCCTGGGGGTGAGATAGGGGAATCTCAACCCAAGGGGGAAGATTCTCAAGTTGCCAAACATGAGGGTTTGCCGAGTGTTTGGCAACTTAAGAACCTTTCCCCGTGGGTTGAAATTCCCCCATCTCACCCACAAGGGGGTGATTACACAATGTAATGATAACGTTACATGATAAATTCAGGGTTGATGTGACGTTGATGGGATTGTTTACGCTATGTCATTGTACTGTTGAAGGGACGTTATACCATTGTTATGAATAGGGGAATCCCCCCGTCTCAACCCTAGAGTGAGACAAGGAAATCTCACCCCGGTATAAGGGTGGGTACACCTGTCCAGGGTAAGAATGATGTCTCACCTGTGGGGAACTTGGACCATCAATGCACATGTCATTTTTTGGTTGGTCTAGCAGTTATTGTTTCAGAGAAACTAACTGAACACAAAAACTTAATGTTGATGGAGATGCTGACAAAGTCAATGGACCATGAAAGGTAGGCCGCATCCAGCATTTGATGCATGGGTTAAGATGTTCTACTTTAGATGCATCTACTGTCTAAGTTTGGTTGGTCTAGCACTTATTCTTTCAGTGAAAATAACTTAAATGCAAAAACTTAATGTTGACACCGCCATCGCCGGAAAAACAACACCTTAGTCTCGCTTCCGCTACTTTGTGGCGGCGAGACGAAAAGAAATTATTTACTAAACATCTATTTTTCATATTGATAAAATTTTCATCTGTCTATTTTTGTGTACCAAGGCAATGCAACAGGCACCACAATGAACTGACATGGAACCTAGAGGTACAGACTAGATGTTACACCAATGTATAGGTCCCTGAAAAATCTACAGAAAAGTATGTCACTTTAACCCGTTCACCACTGTAGACCATAATGGACTCATCCATATCAATTTGTGGTATAGTCTACTGAAGTTACATAGGGGTGAAAGGGTTATAACGTACCGTTGAACTCTGGAAGTGACAGCGTCGTCATGTCTTCGCCTTTCTGCACTTTATACATTCCCTTTACTCGCTCCAATTCACTCTGCAAGCCAGGGTCTGCGGCTGCCTCCTTGATCATATTCCTGCAGGAACAAATACATGGTTGAACCTACAGTGATCAATCTACCATTTACTTTCATGGGTCCTTTTCAACTTTTGCTTTCTAAGAACAATGAGTCCCACAATGTCCTCAAATGACCTTGCTGACAGGACGTTAAACAAGCCATTCACATTAATATGTCTAGCCCTGCTTTGACCATCAGACATATCAGAAAAACTAAGTTAAATGCAAAAGTCTAATGTTGATGGAAATGCTGACAAAGTCAATGGACCTAATGATAGGTATTCTGCATCCAGCATTTATTGCATTGGCTGAGATGTTTTACCTAAGATGCATCTACTGTCCAAGTTTCAACTTTGGTTGGTGTATCACTTATACTTTCAGAGAAACTTTCTTAAACACAAAAACTTAATGTTGATGGAGATGATGATAATGTCTATGGACCATGAAAGCATTTGATGCATGATATGAGATGTACGTTACTACCTAAGATGCATCTATGGTCCAAGATTGGTTGGTGTAGCACTTATACTTTCAGGAGACTAATTTAAACACAAAAACTTGATGTTGATGTCGTCGTCGTCGCCGGAAAAGCAACACCTAAGTCTCGCTTCAACTTTGTGGCAGAGAGACAATAAAACCAAACCTACAATGTTAAATTTAAGTAAGTTCTATTAGTACATGTATAAGTCTAAAAGCTTGATGTAGATTTATCACTGAACTTACAGGTACATCACCAGGGTTTTCAGTAGAGATTGGTTTGGTTTAATTTTGTTTAACGTCCTATCAACAGCTAAGGTCATTTAAGGACTTGCCTCTATGTGTGTAGTGTATGTGTGCTTGCGTGTGTGTATGCAGGAGACAGGGTATGTTGGTGGGCTTGCCTCCTTGTGATAGCGCGGATCATGCCGAAGGCACCCAGCACAGCATTCCATCCGGTCACATTATACTGACAACGGGTGAACCAGTTATTGCCATTCCCCTTAATGCTGAACGTTAAGCAAGGATAACAACAACCATTTTTAATGACTTTGGTTTGTCCTGGCCTGGGGACAGAACCCAATGCTTATGCCTTCCTCATCTGGGCAAACGCTCAACATTCAAGCCAAAAGTATAAAGGTGTTGCCAAGCAAGGAACTAGGAAGTAAAAGGTAGTTAGAAGTAGAAAGAAAGATAATTATATAAAGATCTTAAATATTGCAATGGGCACAGCAGATTTACTTTGGTCGCTTTTGTGCCCCAAAATAGAGGACACCAAAGCAAATCCCAAATTATACAGGGGGTTCCCACATTAGTCGCTTCTTACGATACATGTAGTGGGTAACAGCAGGGGTATTCTTTTCTTTTTTTGTTTGGTGTTTAACTCTTCCACCTCATATATATTTAAACTGGACTTGCCCAGTCTTTGGTGGTTTGGTAAGGTTCAAATGTGACCTTAGGAATGAAGGGGTTCAGACTTCAAATCAGCCAGCGGGTCATACAAGGACGGGTGCCTAAATGGAGACACAGCCAGAAAGATAGAGTAAATAAATAAAAAAGAAAGTACACACTAGGAAAGATGGAAAACAAAACTGATCTCAGTGTTACAATGGAGGGCACCAGATCATTTTTTGCCTCTTAAATGTCCTCTTATATATTACACATGCACATGGTCTCCTCAATGTCCTTATAAATTTTGCTCTATAGATCAATGTGTAGAATATCTAGATTTACCCGACGCAATCAATGTACATTTGTGTTGACTATCCCAGTCTAAAAGCTGAAGAAATACAAAGAAGGACAACTCAACATAACATGAACTGTGATTTCGTTGATTGCAATAATCATATTTGGGAAAATGAAAGACATGAGGGTCACAAACATGATGTCATTCTAAGAGTCTTGTAGCATTTGATTTGGGAGAACACACAGGAATTCCTTCATATTAATGCATCAATAAGAATTATCCCATTCGAATTACCAGGTAGATGATTGGTCGCCCATTAAGAAGGACCTGTCGAAGCACGACTGACTGTGATGTAGATATAAAAATAGCAACAAAGTTTTGATTCAGCGATGTATAAATAAGTGTCGCCCTTTGAAACATAATGGACTTGATTTAACTATAATGATTGAATTGACACAACTGTAGTTCCTGAGGGGGAAACAGCTTTTGTCATACATGTATGTACACAAACATAGTATCCCAAACACCAAAGAGATGGCTGCAAAGATTTACCATCTGGAATGGCTATAAACGATTACTGCAGTCGAGTAATTCAGGTTTGAGGATTTCCATACCAAATATAGTGTCACATGTATGTTACTTTTGAAAAAGCAAAAGGTACAACCCACGACTATTAAAGCTTGCTTAACCTTGCCAGGTTTAATGCCATTTATGGGGATTTTCTCCATCTGGTTTTATCTCCCCATATTTCACACATATTTGGACATATGTCATGACAAAAATGCATCAATATTAATGGCACTTGCCCGCTGCAAGTCTATTTAATTGGGCTTTCATTTGACTCTTTGACATTTATCAATACTTTAAATCCCAAGAGACGTCAACAACCCTCATTTTTGGAGTCAAAAAACATACACTAAAGGGTCTATTGAAAGCTCTGTCAATTAAATGTGAAAATACCAGGTTTGGAGATCTTTGAAGACATATGCTTACATTCCCTGCATATTTAAATATCCATAGCTATTAGCTACCATGACGTCTTCTTCTAAGGCCCGAAGGCATAGAAGGCTGCCCACAAAGCCCCGAAATGATGCTAGGGGCCCTACTTTACTAGAAGCTAGTAAACTCATAAGATCATGCAGCGAGGTACAACAGGTTTACCAGTGAGGTACAGCAGATTTATTTTTTTCCCAAACCTTCACAGATAAGCAGTATACCTACTTTTGTTTGTATTCTTTAATTTTATCCAAAAACAACTTCTGTATTGGGTCAGCCTTCTGCAGTACAGCGGCAGACACACCAAAGTTTCGGCGCGCCTGGACTTGGACGGCACGGCCTAATGTTGCCAATCTCGAGACCAGCATGATGACTACAATACAAAAAATATAATCGTTATTTTTCGTGGATATCAGTGTAATACAAGGCTTAAATTGGTTATATCAAGGTTCCCAATGTTACATTTTGTGGGATGAAAGGTATACATATATATATTCCGGGATGAGGAGTTTTAGAGTGGTTGGGCAAAAACTATAACATCAATGAAATGTTTCTATATTATATAATATATATGCCTACCAAGGAAGAATTGATGCCATTGTATGAAAACTATCATGTGATATTTTCCTGCCTTATGTGTCTGGTATGGAAGAATATTCCTATCATCTGTTATTCAGTACTTTTATACTGGGATGAACTTCTAGTGGGACTTCGGGGTAGTCCAGTGACCAGTTTCTGAGCCCTTGCTGTGAAATTTGCAGAATAAGCGAAGAAGGGCAAAATCAAACGTTAACAGTGATGTGCTTTTCCATTGCTTATCAACAATGTTTACTCTTTAATTTCGACTTCAAAGTCAGTTTTCAATCACTTCCTTTACTCTGCAACAAAAACTTATCCATCCTCTCCTTAATTTTAAATTGACCAACGCCCTTATGTGACCAGTGTCTCTGCCTGTTTATTTATAGCCCACTTTGCATATACCTAGTACTGCATTACTGCTGTGTCATCTGGAGAAAATTGTATATACTTACTACTTCTTTTAATCGGAACAAAATGTTTTGCTTTGGATTTACTTGCAATCACAATGGAGAAAGAAGGAAACTCTTGCAAAAAACATATATGAACCCAATACAATAAGACTACGTGATATAGTCCCACAATTTGGTTAAGCACAGTTATGATGTGTTGCATACAAATATTAACAAAAAGTTACCTTTCCCTTGTGTACGTCTACTGTTTTCTAATCCAATCAAAAGGTAAGAGTAGAAAAGCTACTTTTCCTTATTTTTTTTAGTTATAAATCTTAGTTTATTAGTTTTTGCTTCAATACCAGTGATTGTTTTTCAAAATCCTTGCAGATCTATGTTAACTGTTGTCATAGTTTTAGTTGGTGTTCAATAATGAGTCAAATAAATGCAGTTTGTGAATGTGAGCAGTGATGTGCAAAAAGGCAAGGCATAGAAGCTGGTCCTCAGAAGTCATCGCTCCATACTAGGAGATACGTTCCTTATGTGAAAGAAGAAGACGCATTTTATACATGACAATGCAACCACTCTGCTTTTTTCATTTTGCTCCAGTCTGAATTTTTCAACTTTCAAGGTGTTAATTTCATATCAGCAGTCGGTGAACCGAAGTGGTGGGGGTAGGGGTGGATGGGTAGGCGGACTAGAGGATGGTAAATTTCAACAATGCAATAATGTAAATAGCTAAAAGAAAATGTATGTGAAAAGGTGTCCATTATAACTTTGGAAAATAATAAATATCCTGACATGCTGGAAAACAACGATAAAGGTCGGCGTAGTGAAGTGTTTGCAGACACCGGTACCATGCTATGACCGTGTCGGTGGTCACCTTTTCAACCTGCGACGAGTCAAAAAGGCTTCTTTGCCTTAACGTTGATTAGGTATTTATCAGTTAAAAATGGGAAATATTTCCTCCGTGGATCAAATTAAGATTATTAGCTTTTTTACAAAATATAACTTCATTAGTTCTCTACTGACCTCTATCCCAATGGTGTCGCGAAATAACGAAAAGGACGAGAGTTGAGATATTTCATACGAGAGGTGATAAAAAAGCAGCATCGCAATCTTTGCAGGATTTTTTTTTATCTCAACATGATGTGGATGTAAACACAAACATAAATTGATACATAGTATTTAGTAGTCGAATTTTATATGGAGTTCTCACGATGAAAACTTTCACGTAATATTCCAGGCGTGCGTTTCACTTTATTTCATCAGTTTGTAAAATATAGCCACCCTGCATAAATTATCAAAATTCTAGTCACGTGATCTAAAGGAAGATCCTGCTTTGTCTGGCATTTCCGTTTCAAAGAAATTTCCGGTCAAAAAATTATTAATTAACGAAGTTTTCAAAGAACTAATCGCACGACGAGTCATTGTGACAGTCTGGACACAAATATTTAGGTAAGTATTGGCAATATTTAACGCGTTGAGGCCCTGAAATTCGTCTTTTATCCTGGGCGCGCACTGGTCAACAACTCTGAAACCAAACAGGATGTAGAACGTGGTTTTGAAAAGCCGGAAGTTTTGATATATGTTTGCGCTGTAGCAGACACTCATTTCCTCTCTGGTGACAATGTTTGTCACAACCTCCAGAAACGTGTTATATGATAATACGACATTTTTATGTCGACTAGGCCATTGTGGTTTCAAAAATTTCAAGATGTCGGCCATATTTAAACAAAACAGCGTGTTCAACTGGGCGTGTCGAATGAGGTACATGAACGGACATAGTTTTCTTGAGTTTCTCGAGGGAATTTCAAAAATAACATATCTACAAAGAGGACTCAAATAACCTGTTTATTGTTTTGGGTTGGTTCATTTGTCTGCTTCTTTTTATGCATATTGCTAAATAAATCAATTAAGACAGGTAACATTGAAAACAACCAAGGTAATCAAGCATTAAACTTATCAAATACTAGTCTAGCTTTTTATTTTATTTTTTAATTATTAATGGGATGGTACAAATATGTTGTAGTGTAAGAAAATAACAATTATAAAATAGCACTAGCACTAACATGCAATGTGATGTTTTGACATATATATATTGAAATCATGCTTTTAAATAAAAATTATTTCATTCTGATTATAGATCTATACATACCATAAAATGTTATTATTCTATTTTATATCAGGAATCTATGTCATTGAATGACCCCTAAGTCTGATATCCATGCATCATTAGGAATTCTTTGAACTTCATATTGATCAAAATATCTTTTTTTTTCATTTATATAATGATTGACCAGGAAATTGTCTTGGGTTACAACTGTGAACATATTTACTTCCTTATATACAGTCAAGCAAATGTCCTGTTTCTAGTAAAACTTCAAGGTGATATTCATGTAAAAAATTGTTATAGGTACAAATACAACATAATAATGTTTATCAAGGTACCATGAATTAGCTATAGGATGACAGCTCTACACTATCTCTACAGAAATGTAATATATGTTCATTAAGCTAAATAAAATGTAATTGTATATAAATTTAGAAATCATGACATTATTACTGATTCTTTGCTTTGACAAACAATATCTATTTCCAGATACCACCTTTTTTGTATCAAAAATGAGCGAAAACCTGAAAGGCATACCAGGCCATTTCTGGTACAAATCAGATGAATTCTGTCTCATATAATATCTATTCGTAACAATAAAATATCCTGCTTTGTACCCCAATTTTGAAAAGGCTAGCATTACCAATGAAGTTTGTGCATTTGTTTACAAGTAGTATCATTATCAATAACGTCATTGCTCATATAGATGAATGGTAATATAACCGACCATTCTAGATCCATCACTGTATGGAATATTTGTACAAAATTTGTGGAAATAATTATACACCCAATTTATTATTCCAGTCTTAATGGGGAGGGGTTATAAAACAAAAAGATAAAACAATTAAAGCTGCTGATTGACCCTGCTTTATTCTAATGCATATCCTGTGGTCAATTCGAAGCAAATGAACAGCGAGGAACTAAAATTAAAAATGATCCATGTCCCCCGTCTTGTACTCCCCTGGCTCTGGCCTGCAGCCCTCGCTGGACACATGGTCATGCACTTAAAGCGCATATTTTCCCCATTTCAACTAAAGGTAATGCTTATAACTTTCTATTCCTCATGCATTAATCCCGGCCCTGTACTGCCAAAATTGGAGAGGGGAATTGGCCTTTATTCGGCCATAAAAAGGGCCTGTTATGCCCATATTTCAAAAGAATAACAGTAAACTTTGAATTTGAATGTCAGAAACTGTTGAAACTAACTTTGATGTTTATTATGTTTGTAGGTTGGAGTACCCCTGGTCCAGTCTCTATGGATGGGGACAATAATACCATCACCGTCACCATGACGGAGGACGGATACATCTCTATGTGTAAGCTTTAAGACCAAAGAAAACAATGTTGCGATTAGATTTCTTTTTTCTTTTAAATGAAGTTTATTTAAAACATGAATTGTAGAAATTTTACAATTTGTTTTAATGTTTGTATAATACATCAAATTATATGAAGGATAGGGATTAATTTAGATAACCATTACCAGATCTTAAACAAATTTGATTAGTTAAAATATAATTAATTTAGACTATATATATACAACTATAGGTTCTGTAAGTGTTTTTGAAAGCGTTGAACCTAAATCTTTCAATGAAACATTTTCTGTTGTGTTCTTTGAATTATTGCACATATTCTTTTTCACCCCAGCCATGAAGCATCCGGAGGAAGAGGTAGAGGAAGAGCTAGGGGAAGATGAGGAGCCGCCCATCAAACAGCTAAAACTTGAACTGGGGGAGGCCGAGGCCATTGAAGAGGCAGCAGCTCAGGAAGTTCAGATAGAGGAGGTACAGATCTCACAGGAAGTAGAACACGACATCACGGAAACACAGGAAGTTTCCCTTGCAGACGGGTAATGACACAGCACAGGGGCTAGCTGTTTAATTCTGATTAGCTTTTAAGATAATAGCTTTATCTTTTAATAGCTAAAAACTGTTATCTTGTATTAAAAGACTGAAATTAAAGCAGGTTTTATCAAACTCACATACAGTAGACTCAAACTGACCTTCCACGGGCAATGCAAAGAAATACAAAGGTTTTGGCTTGATATATATGCCAGTCATCATCAGTATACAAACAATTTTGGAGGGCTATTAAAAAGTAAAAATTTTGGTTCAGCCGCTGAATTATTATAGTTAACTACAACTATCTACATCATGTGATAACAGCAATATGGAGAATTACAGTCAAATGATATGAAATTGACGATTTCGGATTACAATATTAAAATGAACATTAAACAACTGATAAACTGTAATGTTAAAGCATTAAACTTTTTGTAGTTATTATTGCCATTGATTTTATTGAAAAAAATAGTAAATTTTCAGGTAATTTTGAAAAATCACATTTTGAATATTTTCATGACCTTTGTTGACCTTGTGACATAGGGTCGTGTATGAGGAAGAGGTAGTCCAACAGACCAATCAACAGCCAGCACCACACTACCAGAACCTCATAATACAGCACATGGACATTGCCGAGCCCCTATCTACACTGAAATCCCTACTGGAAATGAGGCTACAGTGCTCTTTGGCGGAACACCAGTTTTTCTTACAGGACACCATACAGGTATGCACTCGTTGATTGATACCGGAAACATCCTTAATAAATGACTATTCCTTCTTTTCGTATTGCAGAGTTATCTTCTCTTGTGAGCAGGTATTGATTGTTACGTCATTTGTTTGTGAGAGTAACGTCATCAATTTTTGAGAAAACAACGTTAATTTTCTCACACAAACCAATGACATAACAATCACTCCCTGCTCACAAGAGAAGATAACTCTGCAATATGCAAAGACGGAATAGCTGCTAATAGGATGTAAAACACAAACAAACTCATTGATTGCAGTGTTCCGTGGCTAAATCTGCATGTACACCATGTCCTATAAAAAGAAAGTTTGATTTTTAGGTCACCTGAGCTTTGCTCAAGTGACCTATTCCAATCGCTTTTCGTCCGTCGTCGTCCGTCGTGCGTAAACTTTTACATTTTCAACTTCTTCTCAAGAACCAGTGGATGGATTTTTTTCAAACTTGGTCAGAATCATCCTTGGTAGATGAGGCTTCAAAATTGTAAAATTGGGATTCCTACCCCAACCCCTGGGGCCAGGGCGGGGCCCCAAAGGGAAAATTA